GGCTGGACCAATTTACATTCCCACCAACAGTAGCAGGGTTTCCCTTTCACCATAACCCCACCCACACTTACCACTTTTTGTATTTTTTAATCTTTACCATTCTGACAGGGGTTAGGTGAGACCCTCATATATTACTGGTAGGAATGTAAATTAGTGCAGCCACTACATAAAACAATACAGAAGTTCCTCAAAACCCTAAAAATAGAATTACTACTTGAACAAGCAATCTCTTTTTAGTATATACTCAAAGGACAGGAAATCACTCTGTGTGAGAGACTTCTACACAGTCATGTTTATTCCAATAATATTCACAATAGTTAAGACATACACTCACCTAGATGTCCAACTAGTGATGAATGGATAAAGAACATGTGACACATACATGCAATGGAATACTACTCAGCCATAAAGAACAATGATCTTATTATTTGACATGAAATGGATGAACTTACAAGATATAATGCTAAGTGAAACAAGCTAAGCTATAAAAGACAAATACTATATGTCCTCACTTAACATATCAAGTGTTGGGACCAGCAGTTGGCATAAATGGCTATGTTGCTAGACTCCCATGTAGTCGACCACAGTTTGAGTTCCAGACCCAGTGACTTAAACTCATGCTGGATGCAAGTGCATGCATGCCCAAGGTCCTGAGAGGAGATGGAGGAGAAGAAGGGATTGCAGCTTGGCCATCCCCCCTCCCCCTCCCGGGGGTGATTTCTCTCTTTTCATCTCTCTGTGTCTCTCTTTCTGGTGAGTGCATGTGCCCTATAGCAAAAAACTCTCAAAAAAACAAACAAACAAACAAAACAACGTATATCGAATGTCCTCACACAGAAGCTAATGAATTCAGTAGCATAAAAGCAGAGAGAGTAATCATAGATATTAGAAGCTGCATGGGGTTGGGGACAGGAAAAGGGCTCCAGGAGAAAATAATGAACAGACACAAAAATGCATGTAAACAATGAAAGGTTATAAAACAAGGAACCACAACTAAGAACCGGGTTCGCGTCCCGGACCTGGTGGCTTAAACTCACACCGGGCGCGTGTGCGTGCATGCCCAAGATCCCAAGAGGAGAATGGAGGAGAAGGGATTGCGGCGTGGCCATCCCCCTGGGGGGTGATTTCTCGCTTTCTGTCTCTCTGTCTCTCTTTGTCTGTCTGGTGAGCGCACGCGCCCTATAGCAAAAAAACTCTCAAAAAAAAAAAAAAGAAAGAAAAAGAAAAAAAAAGAATAAATAACATGAAATGCATCAAAATAAAAACAAATAAGTACTAAAGGCAACAAGAGCTACAAAATGTCTGAGTGGTATAATTTTTCTATAAGCCCTGACAGTTTGAAACAACTGAAAATCCCAATTGCTTCTATAAGCAGAGCTCCAGGATAGAAAGGGAGATGGAAACACTGGATTTGGGGAAAGACTGGATCTGAGACCCCTGTCAGCTGAGATTATTGCCTAGGGGGTTTGATACATTGGAAGATTGCAGCCTTCAAGGAGAGGGCTCAAGTTCTTAGACTTTTTCGCCTTACTGGTGACTTTATTCATGGTGTTCCATGGGCACTCAATTATGTCCAATTGTGATACTACTCCTTAGAGTATATTTGGATTTTTCAGAAGGCTAAGTGAGAGCTAATTCTCCCAATTTCTGGGGATATTGTAAGACAGAGTCATTTTAGATGACTCTAACAAGTAGCCATGTTACAAATAACAATTGCTTTGTAAGTCAATCCACTGAAAGACATATTGTGGAAGCTAAAAATTTGATTACACAGAAGTGGAGAGTGCAATGGTTAATACCAGAAGCTGGGAAGAGGAAGGAAGGAACTAGGGAGAATTTGGTTAATAGATACATGAGAGCAAGTTGCAGAGTATTACAGTAGAGTCCAGTAAACATAGTTGGTGACTAATAAATATCTACTTTAAAATAGCTACAAGAGAGGACTTTGACTGTTCACAACATAATGCCAAACATTTAAAAAGATAGATATGTTTATTGCTCTAAATTGATTAATATACATTGCATTTATGTACTGAGAAGCCACACTAAACCCCACAAATATGTATAGCTAGCATATGTCAATTAAAAATTATTTTAAATGGACCAGACAGTGGTGCAAAGGCAAAACACAGCGTTCTGCAAGGCTAACCCCTCTAGAAAGTTTTCAAGTTCACATTCAGAGACCTCCCTGCGTATGCTGGGTATGTGCATGCCCATTATCGAAGGCTGACTGAGGCTGGGTGTGGACAGAGGTATCAGGGCCCTGTTGGGGGCGCTATCTTTCTGTCTCTCTTTGTCTCTCCCAGTCATGGAAGAATTAACTAAAAAATATTTTTTAAAGTCCAATACACTTTTTAAATTCCTGAAAAAAAAATAGATATCCCTTAACAGCTGGGATGTGGCACCCATAGTTCATTTTTCAACTCTTGGGCTTACAAAAAATAGTCCCACTTATATTTTTGACTCCAGCCCTCACTAGGTGTATGATCTTGGGCAAGTCACTTACCTAATTTCCTACATGTAAAATAAAGTACAGAACTATATCTATTACATAGGCATGTTATAAAGAATAAGTTAATATATGTATTTCATTTGTCATGATGCTTGGAATAAATTTAGAATTCAGTGATACTGGATATCATGACTATAAACAGTAAAATTCACTTTAGTTCGAAAAGATAAAACCACAGAAATCACAGTCATTCTTCTACTGACAAGCCCTGACTTTTAAAATATTTCTATAGCATTGTTCTTCCCAGGGAGTATAGAAATGGAAAAAGATGCTAACAACCTAACAACTTGAGGAATTCACTTCCACTGTTAACACTTAACCCCAAGATTGTGACAGCTCCTTTGTGCTATCAAAACACCAAACAACAAAAGCATCATAAAAATAATTGAAGACTTTGAAGTTAAGGTCATTAAGTTCATATCTGAACCATAAGTAACAAAATATAATGAGTCTCTATTAAATAAGGAAAACTGTCTTTCATGAGTGCCTAAGCACCTAAAAACTGTCTGGAGAAGTTACTAATCTGTCAAAGTCATTTCAGAAAGAATAAACAAAAACAAGGAAATGTTCATGTGTCCTGGGGATCATCAGCACCTGGCCTGGGTATATAAAGGGCCCAGTGGGGAAGGAAGACATTCACACCTGACAATACTCACCTCCTCTCAACAGCCCACCCCAGAACAGCACCAGACACCACCATGACCGGCTCCTGCTGTGGCTCCTGCTGTGGCTCCTGCTGCTCCCAGAGCTGTGGGGGATGCTGCCAGCCCTGCTGCTGCCGCGCCCCCGCCCTGCCCTGCTGTGGTCTCCCGCCCCTGCTGCTGGGCCTCCACCTGCTGCCAGCCCATCACTGTGCAGTCCCCCTGCTGCCGGCCCCCCTGCTGCCAGCCTGCCCCCTGCCGCATGACCTGCAGGACCTGCCCTACCTGCCCCTGCAGCTGCTGAGCAGCCCATTTTCATGAAGAGATCCCCAACAGGTAGCCAGGTCCATCCTGCTGCCCCTCAGGGTTTTACAGCAGAACAGGATACATGGTCTTGAGAAGTCTATTTCTTCTCTCTTCAAGCAATCTCATTATGCATTGAAGATACTTTTACAGGCCAACTGCTGATGAAGAACACTGAACTCTTCACATCCCATTCTAACTCCTATATCATGCTGTATGTTTTCTAATAAACTTAATACTCCCAGCATAGATATCATGGTCTTTGTGGTATTTCCTTTTGTTAGGCTCTCTCTCTCTCTCATTCAGAACTATTCAAACACGATGCAGAAGAATTCTCTTATGTTGTTCTCTGAAATAACCTCAGTCTGAGTAGTTTTCTTATAATTGTTGTATCTGGCATCCAGTAGCTGAGTAGATAGGAAGGTAGGTATGAGATATCACAGGTACAAGTCATTCACACCCAGAATTCCAGGCACATGCCAAACACCTGGGAAATGGCCTGCAACAACACGTTAGGAGGCTGCATCTGGGCCAACACTGCGTTCTCAGTCCTGATGCTCTGCACTAATCTGACACCTTTGGGTACAATGTAAAAACCCCAGTATGTCAGATGTGGAGGAACAGATGAGTAGAAGGGGGCTGGACACTGCTGCGTGGTGCAGAGCCATATAGGACTGCCTAGAGTTCCATCCCCGGTCAACCAGAACACACCACATGCATTCATAGCACAGCCATCCATGATCCTGGCTGGCTGGGAGGCAGGCGGGAAGATGACAGTGTGTGGCAGGACCCAGTTGGAGTTACCTGTCTTCCCCTCTCTCCCTCTCCTCAAGAAATAGACTTCTTTTGAAGGGACAGTGTGTCTTTTTGAAAAAAGTACTGAAAGGTCATGTAAGTTATGTTTTAAAATAGCTCTGTAATTATAGTTACAGATGTTCAGAAAATACCCTGGAGAAAACAAGTTTCCTGATATTAGATCTTTAAATCAAACACTTCCACTCGGTATGGTAAAAGGCTTGTTAATCTACCCATAGATTAATTGTGTTCTTTTGTCTTTTGTGCCAAGTATAACTATTACTTTGAAAAATGGATCCCCTGATATATGTTAAAGTGTTTTCTCACTTTCCCTCTCTCTCTCTGGCAAATACATGCCCTATAATTTAAAAAAAAAAAGATAAAAATTAAATAAATCAAAACCTACCTGTAAAACTTGAATGGATTTAAAACAAATAAATTATAATGCAGCTGCAGCTCTCTGTACTACAAAAGAAGTCTTCTTTTTTTTTTTTTTAATAAGTTTGCTATAAGGTGCCTGGGCGCTCACCAGAGTGGAAGTGAGAAATCACCACCCAGGAGGGATGGCCATACCACATTCCCTTCTCCTTTCTCCTTTCAGGATTTTGGGCACACATGCACACACACACCTGGTGTAATTTTCAAGCGACCAGGTCTGGGACTCAAACTGCCCAACCGGCTATGTGGGATCCAACCATCCCAACCACCACATCACCTGCTGTTCCAAAAGGAATTTTTTTATAAAAGAAAAGTGTAGGTACCAGCAGCAGTTAGTGTAATGGCTATGTCGCTGGACTCCCATGTAGTCGACCGTGGTTTGTATCCTGGACCTGGTGGCTTAAAACTCACACTGGGTGTGTGTGCGTGCGTGCCCAAGATCCCGAGAGGAGAATGGGGGAGAAGGGATTGCGGCGTGGCCATCCCCCGTGGGGAGTGATTTCTCGCTTTCTATCTCTCTGTCTCTCTCTGTCTGTCTGGCGAGTGCACGTGCCTATAGAAAAAAAAAAAAAGAAAAGAAAAGAAAAAAAACCTCTTCAAAAAAAGAAAGAAAAGTGTATACCACTATGGTATATGTAATGAGCTTTTCCTATATCTTTAAAATATTATTTAATTTATCTTTTTACATTTTAGGGTTATCTGAATTATATAAAATATATTTGATAATTTCAAATTAAGGATTTTAAAAAGCTACTAGCTGTTTCAAATTTTATGTACAATTATTCCTCTCCACTTGTACAAACAACGAAAAATGGAAAACATGAGACAATATTTTTTCACATTAAAATTTGTTCAGAGTCCAGCAGATGGCATAATGGTTATGTTGATGGACTCCCACATAGTCGACTGTGGGAATCCTGGAGTTCAAGTCCTGGACCTGGAGACTTAAAACGCATGCTGGGTGCATGTGTGTATGTGTGTGTGTGTGTGCCCAAAATCCTAAGAGAAGAATGGAGAAGGAATTGCAGTGTGGCCATCCCCCTAGAGGGTGATTTCTTGCTTTTTATCTCTCTGTCTCTCCAGTGAGCATGCATACCCTACAGCAAAAATCGCTAATAAAAATAAGTGCTCATAATGTTATAATTAAACAATACTGTAAAATAAAGCCCTGGATGTTTTATGCATAATATGTTGTCCATCAACACTAGAAATGTCTAAATTTATTTTGAGGTTTTCTTTTGTTCATTTGTTTTTTATGAGATGCATGCACTTCACGGGGGGGAAAAGTGAATGCAAGAAAGCACTCCCTATGGGGAATGGCCGTGCAGAAATCCCTTCTCTTCTATTTTTCATTTCAAGATTTTGGGCACATATGCACACACACCCATGTCAGGGACTTACACCACACCGTTAGCCATGTTGAATCCAGCCACCTTAACCACTGCACCAACAGCTGGCCCTATTTCATTTTTTTCAAAGGATGCTTCTCTGAGACTCTTCTGTAATACACAGGCTGTGGAGGTTTTCTGTAGAGCTCATGCCATGCTCCACAATCCTGATACATATACCTATTATCAGTTCAATAATACCTGACTCCCCTTAACAGAGATTAATACTCAATAAGAGAGAACATCATGTCTTCCTTGCAGTTTTTACTTTATCCCACTTTATTAATGAAATTCACCTCTGAATAATCTTATTTAATGTGTATACTGCAGTGGTTAAACAGACAGTTGGCCATTAACTATATCAGATACATGGGTCTTTGTTATAAATTCAAAATTTAGAGTTCATGAGGCATGAATGTAGCAAAAATTTTAAAACAACCTTTTCAAATATATTTGTTTACTTACTCGACAGATACAAAACACTAAGTGCCAGGCACCATTCTTAGGGCATGACTAATACTGGCTCATTTAGTCCTCACAACAATCCTAATATGTACTATTATTATGGCCTAAGGACACACCATCAGTAAGTGACAGCTTTTCATGAGTGTCGTCTGGTTTCAGGATAAGAGGCATCAGGAAACGGCATATGACTTGCCACAGTGTCCAACCACAGAGCCGCGCTCACACAATTCCATGGTATGAATAACTGAAGCATGACCCATATTTTCTCTGCCTGAAAATGAAGTGTGGCAAGGGGGTGGGGATAAGTGTGTCAGAGTGACTAGACACTAGATGAGTTTGCTGAGTGCTATGTAGACTCTCTATCCTTGTGGCTTTTACAAAGGGGAGAGAAAAGTCACTTTGGGATTACTTTGGGTCTGAAGTGTTTGAAGTAGAGAAATTAATCTTATTAACTTGATGTTTTCTAAGAGGCTCCCATTGCATAAAATGTGATCATCCTGAAAACTCCATAGAAGCATGGAAGTTTATTATGAGATAGTGTGCCCTGAAAAAAAGAGAATATACAACTTTTGATCTAGGATCTGGTTAAAACGTTGAGAAAACACTCATGTTCATGAACAAAGGAAAGAATATGAAATGTGATTGAGACTGCTTGGTTTCTCCCTGCTCTGTTTCCTAAATTGGTACTATGTGATCAATCTACTAACATTTCTTTTAAAGTTTTGAACATATGTTTAAAATTTCATTTGAAAAGTTTTAGAACATGGGTCCCAAAGCACATTCTTTTGAATGATGGGAATGATCCTAAAGTGACCCAAAACCCTGTTGGTATAAGATAGGAGGAGTAAAGCTGTCAAGTAATGAGACCATTTCCCCCATGTAGCTCTTTTTTTTTTTCCATGCCACAATCCCTTCTCCCCCATTCTCCTCTCAGGATCTTGGGCACACACACACATGCACTTGGCGTGAGTTTAAGCCACTGGGTCCAGAACTTGAACTGTGGTCAACTACATGGGAGTCCACTGACATAGCCATTATGTCAACTGCTGGTCCCCCTACCACATATGGCTCTTAACTGCCCTTATTGATACTTCCTGAAGAAGCAGGCCCGTCACATTTTTAGCAGTGTCACAGCAGAATAACCTTGTGGCCTCCCAGTGTTCCTCCTCTTAACAATGCATTGTGTATGTTTGCAACAGTAACTGGGAAAACCCCATATTCTCACTTGATAATAATAGCACCCATATCAAGGTGTATTTTTAAAATTCCACTACATGGTTTCTCATTTTATACACAAGAAAGGGAAATATAAAAATAATGTCATGGTTCAGAGATAATGAGTACATTCTGGACTAACTCCCTGGCCCTGTGGTTAAATGAGCTGGATCCCATATGGCTGACCAAGGTTTAAATCCCAATCCCAGCAGCTTGCAAAACATGCCAGGTACTTGAGAACATGCGCCCCCAAAATCCCAATGGGATAGAGAAATGGAGAAGAAATAGCCGTATGGCCATGTCTCCACTGAGAGGTAACTGTCTCCCAGATAAGTGCATGCAATTAAAAAAAGAACAAACAAATGAAAAAGAAAAAGAAAAAGAAAAGGAAGGAAGAAAAGAAGGAAAGAAAGAAAGAAGGAAAGAAGGAAGGAAGAAAGAAAAAAAGCTACATTCTATGACCAGAAGAACCAGAGCTGCACAAAACTTGAACCAGAGAACAGAAAACTGCAAAGCAATAGTGGATATGTTATTCTAATACTTACCTTATAAAAATAAACTTTTGTCTTATCAGACATGCAGTGAAAGTACATTACGAGAATAAGACAGTGTGGAATGGGGGGGGTGAAGAGAAGAGGATAGAGAAAGCTAGCAAGAGAAGAAATAGAGAGGCAGGACATTAGTGGGAAACAGATATGGCTTATTACCTATTGATGATGACATGTATAGTACTCTCAACTGGATTGGTCTGAGAAGTATTTCATGATGGGTGAAGTCTTTTTACAAGCAAAGTGAGAAATAGTGATTAACTGTTTAAAAAATAATTGGAATAATAATAATAATGATTGGGAAAAACAATGAAAAGATACTGAATGATGAAGTGGAGAGATTAATGTCTCTGTATTGACTGACATACATGGCATTCCCTTTTGAAAAAGCAATGTAATACACTGTAAAGTTCTATGCAGTCCAATGTAATATAAACAAGATTATGATGATAATAAAAAAATAAAAATTTAAAAATCAAAAAAATAAAAATAAAAATAAACTTTTGTCAACAACTCAATATCTTTCATTCCTATAAAATCTAAAACACATAAACAAATAAATAAACTTTAGCCTTTTGCATACAAGTATACGAGATACTGTTCTACTCAAGGTATATACATTCTACTATATCAACTTATACGTGAATGTATTACTAAAGAACCCACATAGAACAATGTGTGTTAAGACCTTTCTGATTCACCTGTAGACCCTTTCAGAGCACCTTTTAGGGGCCAATGATTTTATCCATTCTCTATGCAGCTTCCATGTTAATATTTTTTAAACTGAAGTTCCTTTAAGACCATTTTATCCAAGTTTAACCAGGCACTATTCTAAAAATAAGTGCCAAGAACTGCTATCACCTCAAATGACTACAATTCTTAGATTTTCATGGAAAGTGTAATACCTGCATACTTAGGATTCAACAAGAGTTCTTTAATGAGATCATGAGTGTGTCACAAGTGACCATTAGTCAAAATAAAATTCTACTTAATTGGTCAAAAGATAAACAAGAGGGGTCATCAGCACCTGGCCTGGGTATATAAAGGGCCCAGTGGGGAAGGAAGACATTCACACCTGACAATACTCACCTCCTCTCAACAGCCCACCCCAGAACAGCACCAGACACCACCATGACCGGCTCCTGCCCTCGGTTCCGCCGCT